TGCAAATCATTTCAACTATTTTATTATCATTATTATTATTCAAAAACATGAAGCAAGCTCTCTCTCTCTCTCTCTCTCTCTCTCTCTCTCTCTCTCTCTCTCTCTCTCTCTCAATATAAATTATCATGTTATCTTCTAATTTTATCTGCCATCTTATGATGTCGTGTACATATGTATGTGTTTAATAATTAGGAGCGGGCGATTATAAGTTCTTGGAACTTGTGCCCAATCCTCTTGCAATATTTTGGCAATAAAATATGTTTAAACTAAAACTGTCTGTCTGTCCGTCCAAACTTGGTTTCCGTCAATGTTCTCAAAAACTAATTAGCCCAGAGATATCACACTTCACATAATGATAGAATATGATGTCTAGATGTGCATTAACGTATTTTTTATTTGATTCGATTTTCAAGATGGCCGCCATAGCAACACTTAGCAACAAGAACAAGCACACAACGGGGCCATTTCTGACTCTAGCAATAATTATGTGGTTTATTAAATACTCAAATGTATAATATCCATTAGATTTTTGTGTATTTATGTGCTTATATCTATATCTTTATTGATTACCATCAACAAAAAATGAGGAGGACTTCCTTAAAAAAGAAGCAAAAAGAAAAAAAGAGAAATATATTCCCGTTGAATGTCTAGAGGCTAACGCTCTTAAAAAACGTCGAGAAGATGAACGTAAGAGGTCGAAAAGGAGTTATGACAAACTACAAGACACAAGAAAATGTAAAGACACACTTGCAAGAGAGGATGACGAAGTAGGTGCTGGAGAAAAGCTAATAGTCAAACTACCATCGACTTCTAAAAACAAAGGATTACGTAAAAGATACAAAAGATCGCTCCGACAGGCATACCGCTCAAACAATGAATTGAAAGTAAAGAATCAAGAATTACACAGAGCAAATAAGAGATTACAGAAGCGTCTTGAGAGAATTAAAAAGAAGTTTGTGGACAGTAGCGATTCTCGTGATGATAGCGATTACGTTGACAGCATCAACGAGAACCATTCAGTGGATATAACAATGACTCCAAATTCTAAAACGAAACATGAAATGAAGTCGTTGAACCTAGAAAAAATAACTAACGGAAAGCGCCAAACTAAAGTTAGGAGAAAATTGGCATTTATCCGCAAGAAGTTTTTGCTTGCGAACACTATGGCTTCAGAAATAAAGGAAAGTGTAACGGGGAAAAAGAAGAAAATAGATTCTGTTAAAAAATCATGGAAAGGAATAACAGGAAAGTACAGATGCACCGCAATTATGGGAAAGGCTTTAGGGGTTAGCCAGAGGAAGGTGAGGGTACTTGGTACAGCAAGAAAAACAAGCACCGGGACAAATCAATTACGTGAGAAAGTTGTTGCGTTTCTTGAGAGAGAAGATAACAGCTGTGTTATGCCTGGCAAAAGGGACACAAAAACGTCAGGAAAAGTGAAAAAACAGAAACACATTTTAAGCGACTATATGAAAAATCTCTACGAAAATTTCAGAATGGAGAATCCGAGGATAAAGATATCGAAATCGGTTATGTATTCGTTTCGCCCATCTCACATTATGCTTGCAAATTTTGCATCAAAGAAAACTTGTCTGTGTTCTAAACACCAAAATATGGCTTTAAAATCAAGAGCACTCAGCGCAGCGGGAATACAATGTTCGAAAAACCCAGACGAATGCATCAAAACGAATGATGATTTGCTATCCAAAATAAGGGAATCGGATGTAACTGAAATAACATACAAAACATGGAAGAGGATACAGGACGGTGATAGATATAGACACAAGGAAGTAGAAGAAACGGAAAAGAAGGACGATTTCTTAGACAAAATGAAGACCGATCTCAGCGAATTTAAAGATCACATAGAAAGAGTAAAACATCAATACAGCGAACTTAGAAAACTTAGAGAAAACCTCCCCCAAAATCATGCAGTGGTATGGATGGACTTCGCAGAAAACTTCCAGTGCTCTTCAGTTGAAGAAGTTCAATCTGCCTATTGGAACATTGCGATGGTTAGCCTACACACAATGGTGGTATACTTTCCGGATAATCAGCAAGACAACGCCAAATCCATGCAAAGTTACGTCGCAATTTCCGATGTGCTGTGCCACAACGCAACTGCCGTTTATGCTATACTGTTGAAGGTTGTTCCTAAAATAAAGGAACTTTTTCCAGACCTTGAAACCATACATTACCTGACAGATTCTCCAACCAGTCAGTACAGAAACAAAACAATATTTCAATTCATTTCACAGCATAAAGAGGAATTTGGCGTCAATGCACGATGGAACTACCTGGAAAGTGGTCATGGGAAAGGGCCGTGTGACGGCCTAGGAGCTAGTGTAAAAAGAGCTGCTGGTGACGCCATAAAACAAGGCAGATCTTCTATCCAAAATGCGGATGACTTTTTCAAATGGTCAAAATCTGCTGTGGAATGCGGCAGTAAAGTGTTGTACGTTCTCTACACGCAGTCAGACTACGACGAAGCCCAGGTACTACTCTCCCAACGTCCAACTGCACGTGCAGTCCCAGGAACTTTTAAAGTTCACTATGTGTTGTCATATGTACCAATGGAAGTGTATACCAGGAACATATCTTGCTATTGTGACCAATGTCTAGCGGACGTTGTCTCAACCTCATGTGACGGTTACACAAAACACAATCTTGCTCCAGTAAAAAACAGAAATCAAACATCGACAGTCCATGTAGTGACAAATCAAGAAACGACTACCAAAGAAACAAACGACAAACCAACAAAGGAAACAGAACATACATAAATTGGAACTAACGAACCTAAAGAAGCCGATGTAGCCATGGACGAGCAAGACCTACCAGGGGGGTCTACAAAGAATGGTGAACATGATGGCGACTTGGCAGTTGAAATTTCAATAGACGATTGGGTTGCTGCCATTTACAACACAACATGGTACATTGGTCAGGTCATCGAAGTAGATGAAAACGACGACGATGTTCTTGTTGACTTTCTGGAGAAATCTGGCAGAGTATCAACCACATTCAAAAAGCCTTCCAAACCGGATCAAATATGGATTGAAAAGCAGAATATTTTGCATATTCTGTGCACGCCGCCAGTCCTCGTTGGCAGCCGCTAAAAATTCATGATCTTGATTTAGAACTAATTAGTCAAAAATTTGAAATATAACCAATCAGTGCACGTGAGATTTTGTGACACTTTCATGGTTTCGATCTGCCTCGTATAGGAATTAGCAAATTCTAACTTCCGTAACGAAAGCATATTGTTGGCCTAAAATCATTTCCACAATTTTGCAGTGTGAATACAGAAAGTAAATCTCATAAATATACAAATATGAACTAAAAGTAAGATTTTGGTATGTTTCTGAAGCGTATAATTTGAACATATAATGTCTTTATCGAATGTCAATCTGACTTCCGTAACGTTTTAAGATATCCTATTGAAACGTATATAATTTTGTCTGAAAATTTGTAAATATGTCCAATTATTGTTAAATGCATTTTTTCCGTTCCAGTTGTTCTAAAGAACTTTATGTTATTCCGTTAGTTTCTTTACCGGTTGGTTGTGTTGTTACCTTCTAACCTCCGTAACTAAAATCCTTCTATATATAAAATGTGTTGCGCAATCAAATAATCGTTTTGCACAATTATGACACTTTTAAAATACCCTATGATATCAAAGAGTGAAATAATGGATTGATTGATGCCAATAATGGCATAATGAACGTGCATGATGTTGTTGTTTTGACGAATAATAAAATTACATGAAAAATGTTGTAATGTTTCATGCGATTTCTCATTGTCACAGTGTGTATAATGAACGATATGTATAAAATGTTTTCTAGTCTTTATTCACATCAAGTACTTTAAAGAAATCAGAAAAGAAAGGTACGATAAATCCATTACTTTTTTCACCAGTGGATAATGAAATCTTTTCTAACCTCCGTAACGACAAATTTTGTTAAATATTTTGCGGTTCAGATATTTTTTTATTTATAAGAGTCGTGTGTGTGAAAACTTGTCAAATCACTCCCGTAATACTCTACTTCGATTTTAAATACATTTACTGAATAGAAAAACTTTTTTTTTAATTTTTCATCACTTTTCATACAATAGTGGGTCAATTATTCTGGAATGGCTGGTTACACGGACCCGAGAAAGAAATTTTTGAAAAAGTACTATTATAAAAATGCCTAGTATGTTTAAACTAATAGAGCATTTTAATGTAAAAAAACATTAAAGAAATTACAAAATTGTCTAAATATATAAAGGTTGCTTACATTTCAAAAGATCAATTGAGCCGATAGTTTGCGGTCTCCGGGTCTGTATTGTGTCTGTACTAACGTGTATTTTGTTACACATGTTTAATATTGTTACTGTGTCTTGTATCCGATGAGTCAGTTGACTTAAGGTAATATTGAACTCGAACCTTAATTACAGTGGCAGTCGTTTGAGTAGTTAAGTGGAGTGAACATTGCGGTCTGAGGTGGTAAACAGAAAGACTCTTGTCTCCAATCTAGGATGTTTGGGGTGAAATGTAGCGACGGAAGACAGGTGACAAACCGTCCTACCATATCGGACATAGTAAGTCCAACTGTTTCCGGCGGCAACTGCCAGAGCATTTGAGAGAGTTCTACGTAATTTGTTCCACGTTATTTGTGGCATGCATCGCTACGAATAATGAAAATACATAATATTACACATTTGAAACTGGATTAGCACCCTTTCCTTTATGTGTCTATACATTTCTGTCCCAATTGTCTGATCCGCCGAGTCATTATGAAGATCAAGCACTGTAAAGAAAGAGTTTTTGAAAATTAAATTTAACATAGTAGCTTATAGTTATATAGTAGTAAGAATATAGATTAAAAAGTTGAAATGTATTTTTTTTCATCAGTAGGTTCTATGTATTCTAATTATCGTCAACAAGATCACTTACACAATTATTATTTCATTAACCATTTCATAGAACATTGCCACGAAAGAAATTGTTTTGTATTGATCACAAGTCACGTTTCGTCAGTGCTCTTAGGTTTACATATCAGCCGAAGGATCAATGGTTTTAGAAACAACAACAGCCCGGCTAGTATCATGCCGGTTCCCATGAAGTGGAAGGATGAGGCATACGTTTGTGACCTGTCCCGTAAGAAACCTGGAAATAATATAAATGCAAACATTGAAAATCAAGTTGTCGTTCAATATATTCACTAACTTTCCAATCAGGAACCTTCTACACTCTCCTTAAACAAAATGTTATTAGTATTCACTAGTGTGCAGATAGACACACTTTCTATCAGGGACGACAACTCTGTTAATACATTGAATACGCGTCAATACGCTGTACCATGAATTGATAACATTGGTGCCCGTGTTATTGTAAATGTATTCAAGATACGTAAAAACATAAGAAATAATGTTGACAACAGAGATATTTGTAGAATTTCATTGAGTTCGAACAAAGTAGGTAATAACTGATATTGTGAACTGAGTTCAATACACGATATTATGAAAGCTTCGAAGTGTTTTGACAGCTTCAGTTCTGTTGTCCAGTGCGACACTAAACATTATAAATGAGTAATAACTTCAATGGTTATGCATTCCGTTTCCAATTAGACCACATATTGTGTCTGAAGAATGTATTCGAAGAGATGTAAAGCATTATTGAAGAAAAGATATCACGAAGGAACAATCATTTGTAATGCTTACCTATAAATGGGGCAGAGGAGACAAGCACGAAACCTTGTGAAAACATCGCTATTCCCAAAGCGCTTCGAAAGTTCTCAAATCCAAGAAAATCTATTAATAGGTCTGGCGTTAAAGCGAAAATTCCTCCCGCAAATAATCCATGAATAATCGAATACAACAACATGGACCAGAACGATCGATAAATCTGTGACAACTGCATCATAGCCCCAGTGATGAGGACGGTCAGACAGACAACACGTGAACTAGTCATCCATCCTCGATCAACAACAGTGCCACATAAAAATCGCCCAACGACGTCACATCCGCTTAACGTTGACACCAGTTTTGTAATCTGAGCGGCACTGAGGCCAACATCACGTGCTAACGCTGCAATGTAAATATGCCCGTAAGCAGAACCTATACTTCCTAAACAGTACACGACCAGGAAAATCGTCATGGTAGGGTTCTTCATTAGTGAGATGTCGATATGGATTATCGACCAACACGATCGTTTCTTCACATCCGGCTCATTTATGCCTTCATTCGACTTGTGTTCAGAGAAATCATCACACGCCTGCATTTGGGAAATGTCTGTTAGAGAGATAGTGGATAAATCTACATGGCTGGCGGCTGAACTATAGAGCGATTTTTTTTTCAAAGCATGCGACGTTTTTAGAATAGTGTTTGATTCAGAATGAAGAGGTGGAACATCTTCAGTGCATATATACGTATCTTTTGAATATTCGCGATTGAGTTTTCTTTCAGTGTATTCCCATTCTGTAAAGTTCTCATAATGAGAGACACTTTTATTGTCGTTGCTAATGGATACTACCCTAATTGGATTTTGTGATGTCTCGAACTCTGTTTCCTGGTTGCAAATTTCATTATTATTTTTCGTTAATTTAGTTGCAGCTGATCCAAAAGGTTCTTTTCCAGAGGATGGAATATTACTGTCAACTAGATTATCAGTGGTGAGCTTATCGTCGGTGTTTCCGTTTAAGGAATACGAGTCTTCTTCATTAGTTTCGATATATTCTGGTGGGCGCAAAAACATCGCACCAACCAATGTATGCGAGATTATTGCGGATGTAAGGAGTAAGGCGCCACGAAGTCCGTATGTCTCTACAAGGAATTCGAATATTGGCGGCAACACGAGACCACCAACACTGCCTCCAGCCGTCATACAAGCGTTGGCTAAACTTCGTCTCTTCTCAAAATATTGCCCGACGATATACATACTCGGTCCATGAACACACCCAAAACCAATTCCTGAAAAGATTAAACAAAAGACATATCAATAGCACCTTTGAATACATTTATGATTAGATACAGAAGAGTCAAACAATGAATTAAACTGCATCATACAGCTGTTTCGTCCTTCATGGACTCATCAGTGCTGCTACATCATACAGCTGTTTCGTCCTTCAAGGACTCATCAGTGATGCTAAGAGCCTAGAGTTTGAAGCATATAAGGCGACTGAGGAAAATCCGGATTTATCGAAAGAAAAGTCAAAATATAGATTGGGAGGATCACTAGCCCGAAAAACGGGAAAACAAGCCGACATCAAACATAAGCCGATCCTGAAAATAAGCCTACCTCACCTTGGAAGGTGCAAGTGATGGGTTAGCGGGTGCTTAATGGTATTATTGATGGATGAGAGGCTTCTGGATGGTATGACTGATGGATATAAGTGGCTTCTGGATGGTATGACTGATGGATGAGTGGCTTCTTGATGGTATGACTAATGGATATAAGTGGCTTCTTGATGGTATGACTGATGGATGAGTGGCTTCTTGCTGGTATGACTGATGGATGAGTGACTTCTTGATGGTATGACTGATGAATGAGTGGCTTCTGGGTGGTGTGACTGATGGATAAGTGGCTTCTTGATGGTATGACTGATGGACAAGTGGCTTCTGGGTGGTGCGACAGAAATTAAGTGGCTTTTGGATAGTATGAATGATGGATAAGTGGCTTCTGGGTGGTGTGACTGAAATTAAGTGGCTTCTTGATGGTATGACTGATGGATGAGTGGCTTCTGGGTGGTATGACTGATGGATAAGTGGCTTCTGGATGGTATGACTGATGGATATAAGTGGCTTCTCGATGGTATGACTGATGGATAGAAGTGGCTTCTTGATGGTACGACTGATAAATGAGTCGCTTCTGGGTAGTATGACTGATGGATAAGTGGCTTCTTGATGGTATGACAGATGAATTAGTGGCTTTTTGATAGTATGACTGATGGATGAGTGGCTTCTGGATGGTATGACTGATGGATATAGGTGGCTTCTCGATGGTATGACTGATGGATATAAGTGGCTTCTTGATGGTACGACTGATGAATATAAGTGGCTTCTTGATGGTACGACTGATGAATGAGTGGCTTCTGGGTAGTATGACTGATGGATAAGTGGCTTCTGGGTAGTATGACTGATGAATGAGTGGCATCTGGATGGTATGACTGATGGATAAGTGGCTTCTTGATGGTATGACTGATGAATGAGTGGCTTCTGGATGGTATGACTGATGGATAAGTGGCTTCTTGATGGTATTAATGATGGATAAGTGGCTTCTGAATGGTATGACTGATGGATAAGTGGCTTCTGGATAGTATGACTGATGGATGAGTGGCTTCTGGATAGTATGACTTATGGATGAGTGGCTTCTGGATAGTATGACTTATGGATAAGTGGCTTCTTGATGGTATGACTGATGGATGAGTGGCTTCTGGATGGTATGACTAATGGATGAGTGGCTTCTGGATAGTATGACTTATGGATATAAGTGGTTTCTGGATGGTATGACTGATGGATGAGTGGCTTCTGGGTAGTATGACTGATGGATGAGTGACTTCTGGATAGTATTACTAATAGATATAAGTGGCTTCTGGATCGTATGACTGATGGATGTGTGGTTTCTGTGTAGCTTGACTGATGAATAAGTGGCTTCTTGATTGTATGACTGATGAATGAGTGGCTTCTGGGTGGTGTGACTGATGGATAAGTGACTTCTGGATAGTATGACTGATGGATAAGTGACTTCTGGTTAGTATGACTGATGGATAAGTGGCTTCTGGATAGTATGACTGATGGATAAGTGACTTCTGGTTAGTATGACTGATGGATAAGTGACTTCTGGTTAGTATGACTGATGGATAAGTGGCTTCCGGATGGTATGACTGATGAATGAGTGGCTTCTTGATGGTAGACTGATGAATGAGTGGCTTCTGGGTGATGTGACTGATGGATGTGTGGCTTCTGGGTAGTATGACTGATGGATAAGTGGCTTCTTGATGGTATGACTGATGGATGAGTGGCTTCTGGGTAGTATGACTGATGGATGAGTGACTTCTGGATAGTATTACTAATAGATATAAGTGGCTTCTGGATGGTATGACTGATGGATGTGTGGTTTCTGTGTAGTTTGACTGATGAATAAGTGGCTTCTGGATAGTATGACTTATGGATGAGTGGCTTCTGGATAGTATGACTTATGGATAAGTGGCTTCTTGATGGTATGACTGATGGATGAGTGGCTTCTGGATGGTATGACTAATGGATGAGTGGCTTCTGGATAGTATGACTTATGGATATAAGTGGTTTCTGGATGGTATGACTGATGGATAAGTGGCTTCTGAATAGTATGACTGATAGATAAGTGGCTTCTTGATGGTATGACTGATGGATGAGTGGCTTCTTGATGGTATGACTGATGAATGAGTGGCTTCTGGGTGGTGTGACTGATGGATAAGTGACTTCTGGATAGTATGACTGATGGATTAGTGACTTCTGGTTAGTATGACTGATGGATAAGTGGCTTCTGGATAGTATGCCTGATGGATAAGTGACTTCTGGTTAGTATGACTGATGGATAAGTGGCCTCTGGATAGTATGACTGATGGATAAGTGGCTTCCGGATGGTATGACTGATGAATGAGTGGCTTCTGGATGGTATGACTGATGGATGAGTGGCTTCTTGATGGTAGACTGATGAATGAGTGGCTTCTGGGTGATGTGACTGATGGATGTGTGGCTTCTGGGTAGTATGACTGATGGATAAGTGGCTTCTTGATGGTATGACTGATGGATGAGTGGCTTCTGGGTAGTATGACTGATGGATGAGTGACTTCTGGATAGTATTACTAATAGATATAAGTGGCTTCTGGATGGTATGACTGATGGATGTGTGGTTTCTGTGTAGTTTGACTGATGAATAAGTGGCTTCTTGATTGTATGACTGATGGATGAGTGGCTTCTGGGTAGTATGACAAATAGATATAAGTGGCTTCTGGATGATGTGACTGATGGATGTGTGGCTTCTGGATGGTATGACTGATGGATAAGTGGCTTCTGGATGGTATGACTGATGGATAAGTGGCTTCTGGGTGGTATGACTGATGGTTGTGTGGCTTCTGGATGGTATGACTGATGGTTGTGTGGCTTCTGGATGGTATAACTGATGGATGAGTGGCTTCTGGGTAATATGACTGATGGATATAAGTGGCTTCTGGATGGTATGACAGATGGATGAGTGGCTTCTTGATGGTATGACTGATGGATAAGTGGCTTCTTGATGGTGGGACCGATGGATAAGTGACTTCTGGATTGTGTAATTAATAGATAAAGCACGTTTATAATCAAGCGTACATACCAAATAATACTCCATGAGTAAAGAGAAGAAAGTAAATGTTCGGTGCCTGACTGCCGAGGGCGTAGGCCAAAGTTCCGATCAATCCCCCACATAGTATAGACTGTCGTGGACTTATGTGATGAAGGCCGATCGCCATGATAGGAAGGGCTGCAATACATTCATAGAAATCCGGAGGGTTTGTGAAACATATTGACATAGATATTAAACAGTGAAACGAATTCTTGTATGAATCAGACGTACAATGTAATATGTTACAAATACAAACAAAACTACTCTTTACAACGGAATGAATTTCTTTTTCTGTCAAATAATACATACCTGTAATGAATTTGTATTTTCGATATGTCTGTTTAAGAGAAAATTTTGAAAAATATACACTGCGCATCATCATTCTCAAGTACGTGTATTTCAAAATAAGTACCGATTTTCTTTAATATATTACGTTCAAAATTAGTGAAATTCATTCAGTATCGCATAAATAGTGATACACATGAAAAAATGATGATAACTCAGTCACCATGAAAAGTGATACACATGACAAAATGATAATAACCCCGTCATCATGAATAGTGATACACATAAAAAATGATAATAACCCAGTCACCATGAATAGTGATACACAAGGAAAAATAATGATAACACAGTCGCCATGAATAGTGATACAAAAGAAAAAAATGATGATAACCCAGTCGCCATGAATAGCGATACACATGGAAAATTGATAATAACCCAGTCGCCATGAATAGTGATACACATGAAAAAATGATAATAACCCAGTCGCCATGAATAGTGATAAAATAAAAATGGTAATAACCCAGTCGCCATGAATAGTGATACACAACGAAAAATAATGATAACCCAGTCGCCATGAATAGTGATACACAAGAAAAAATGATGATAACCCAGTCGCCATGAATAGTGATACACAAGAAAAAAATGAAAACAACCCAGTCGCCATGAATAGTGATACACATGAAAAAATGATAATAACCCACTCGCCATGAATACTGATACACAAGAAAAATGACAATAATACAGTTGCCATGAATAGTGATACACATGAAAAAATGATGATAACCCAGGCACCATGAATAGTGATACACAAGAAAAAAATGATAATAACACAGTCGCCATGAAAAGTGATACACAAGAAAAAACGATGATAGCAAAGTCGCCATGAATAGTGATACACAAGAAAAAAATGTTAATAACCCACTCGCAATGAATAGTGATACACATAAAAATGCTAATAATATGGGTAAATGATTCTTCTGTCAGGAGTACAAAACCATTGTATACAGGCACTGTAATCATGGGCGGGACCAATTCATGGTAGATGTAAATGACAATTTTGTGTTTTGACACCTACCAGAGGAGACTGTAGGTAATCTGTGTTGTACCTAAAGAAGCGACTGTAGGTAATCTGTGTTGTACCTAAATAAGAGACTGTAGATAATCTGTGTTGTACCTAAAGAAGCGACTGTAGATAATCTGTGTTGTACCTAAAGAAGAGACTGTAGGTAATCTGTGTTGTACCTAAAGAAGAGACTGTAGGTAATCTGTGTTGTACCTAAAGAAGAGACTGTAGGTAATCTGTGTTGTACCTAAAGAAGCGACTGTAGGTAATCTGTGTTGTACCTAAAGAAGAGACTGCAGGTAATCTGTAATGTACCTAAAGAAGAGACTGTAGGTAATCTGTGTTGTACCTAAAGAAGAGACTGTAGGTGATCTGTGTTGTACTTACAGAAGACGCTGTAGGTTATCTGCATCAATCCTACTATCATCGAAGTCATTGAAACGCTTGCATCGAAAATTTCCAGAAACTCAATGAAAAACAATCCAAAAGATTTTATCGTTCCAACAATTATGGCATAATTGAAGGTGCAACCTTAAAAATAGAAATGAATCGACAATAAGCAAAACGACTGACATCTTTCGGAGCCAGAAAGAAACACAATACATATACATTTTTTAATCATTTATTAATATAAATTAAATTCGAAGAATAAAAAGAGGGGTGATTATGAACGAAAGAAGTTGCAAGCACAGCTTTGCACTAGGAAACAGTGAACTAGACCTGCTGGCATGTTTCTGACCTTTGTTTCACTTGAAGGTCAATTAAAGCTATACGCTTAAGGCATGACGGCCAGGTGTCAGAATATTTCAGATAAAAAATGATAAAAAAACGAAAGTCTATTGACACTCAGGAATGTAATATAATAAAGTACATCGATACAAGAGAGTGAATTCCAAGTGTTGCCCTCATCTCTATTTACCTTATATATCACAAATCATTTCCCTATGAGTCTTTGTCACAATATCCAACAGTCCTGTGTCAGTTTGTTGAAACATGTCTACACCTGATTTCATGGATTAATATAACCCAAAAAGTGTACACTTTTAAATTAATTAGTTATATTAACTGTAACAGTTCGTTGACCCACAAAATCAACGAAAATAGCCCCACGAAAACTTCTTATTTCCCAATGTATTAAAGTTTAATCCGCAAGGCATTTTGCCAATAGCATACCATGTATGGGCGAACATGAACGTATGCGTTCAATTGGCATGGTAGAGAACGGAACAGGACGGTCGCGTGTGTCGTCATGATATGTATATAGGTATATCTGCGTTAACGGTTCCAGTCCTCCGCACTGATCACTAGAAGCTTCACGGGCATAAAGGGATCAGTTCCAGAACAGAATTGTGTGAAATAGATTGCGAGAGGCCAATATCCGCTATCCGTCCGGTTTTGCCACAATGTCAGTCACTGAGCAGTAGAATCTGCGATTCTACAACAGGAACTGGTCCGAAGTGCTTTTTACAGACGAGTAAATGTTTCACCTTGGGTATATTGTTGACGTTTGTGTAATTCAGCCTCATCAGTCATACAACGACGTGCACTACCGTGACTAAATTACAGTCATCACCATCTTCTATTTCCGAGGGCTGATAAGTTGCCTCCTATCTAAGGGTTTTACTTTTGGCGGACATCATTTCTCAACATAATCCCCTTCGGTATCTTTACACTTTTGCCGGTGATGTTTAAGGGTTAAGGCAGATTCGAAATCAATTCAAAGCTATAATAGTTAATGGCAGCCTTGGCAATAACAAATATGTGAACAGGGGCATTATCCTTGTGGAACAACACATTTTCACTGAGCTTGAATTTAATATTTATTCTTATCTGCCTTAGAAGTGATGCATAATATGTGCCATAGATTGCCTTTCCAGCTGATGGAACAGTCTTTGCATTATTGGCGGGGTAAACCAGGCTGTTTCCATTGTTTAGATTGTTTGGCCACTGGAGTGAAGTGAGTGACCCATGTTTCATCCATAGTCACAAACCTGTATAAAAGGGTTTAGATTAGCACACGACAAAGTCCGTCTGGTGTGCTTCTGATCAACTGTCAGAAGTCTTACTACTCACCGGACAGAGAGTTGTCTCATTGCAAGATCTGCTATAAGCATAGAATGTACTCTTTCCTTTGAATTTCCAACTGTACTGGCTATATCTCTCTTTGTAAGTCTGAGGTTGCTACAGTGACATGCCTTCCACGACGGGCGTCATTCCCAAGGCTCTGCCTACCTCGCCACTGACCTTTTCACTGAAGCATATAAAGCGGAATCCTTCCCTAGTGCTGCTACCATATCAGTATGAATATCCTAGGCCTTTCTCATACAAATAATCACTGCTCTTTCAGCGATTTTGTCCATTTTGCAAACGTCACTAGCCTTGTTTACTTTAGAGTGCTACCTCTTCGACATAAACTGATCAAATGACAACAGCCTTCAGGTTCACAGAATTAAAACAGTCAGGGAACAGTAGAGCCGAAAAAGGACATCCCTGCTTCAATCATCAATTCAATGCTCACAACTTATCAATCAGCCCTCGTATCTGTAACAGCCAGCGTAACATATTGTTTTTATCCGCAGGACAACGCCCGACCATATACATGCACATACTACTGGGAGCATATCTGTAGTAGCAGAACGTTTCCACGCTACTTGCCACGCTACGTTACATACGTCGAAGATGTGTGGCATTCGTCAATGCGAGTGAAGGACACAGTATTTAACTTGGACACAGCATTGGACTCTCTGTTGCTCTCAATTTCAATCCCGATTTACTAATTGTTCGATTCATCGTGTCATTATCAAGATAATACATTGAAAAAAGATTTGGTTTAAATGCAAAACAGAATTTGTCATTAGAATTAAGAATTTAAGCATTTAAAATTCAGTTTTGATATCTTCTTTTGATTTTCCGATATACACTCGTCCTTATGTACCCCTGGTTGTTGTCCTGTAAACACCGTCCTTATGTACCCCTTGTTGTTGTCCTGTAAACACCCGTCCTTATGTACCCCTGGTTGTTGTCCCGTAGAAACCCGTCCTTATGTACCCCTGGTTGTTGTCCTGTAAACACCTGTCCTTATGTACCCCTGGTTGTTGTCCTGTAAACACCGCCCTTATGTACCCTTGGTTGTTGTCCCGTAGAAACCCGTCCTTATGTACCCGTGGTTGTTGTCCCGTAGAAACCCGTCCTTATGTATCCCTGGTTGTTGTCCAGTAGAAACCCGTCCTTATGTACCCCTGGTTGTTGTCCTGTAGAAACCCGTCCTTATGTACCCCTGGTTGTTGTCCCGTAGAAACCCGTCCTTATGTACCCCTGGTTGTTGTCCCGTAGAAACACGTCCTTATGTACCTGTGGTTGTTGTCCCGTAGAAACCCGTCCTTATGTACCCCTGGTTGTTGTCCCGTAGAAACCCGTCCTTATGTACCCCTGGTTGTTGTCCCGTAGAAACCCGTCCTTATGTACCCTTGGTTGTTGTCCTGTAAACACCGTCCTTATATACCCCTGGTTTTTGTCCCGTAGAAACCCGTCCTTATGTACCCCTGGTTGTTGTCCTGTAAACACCCGTCCTTATGTACCCCTGGTTGTTGTCCTGTAAACACCGTCCTTATGTACCCCTGGTTGTTGTCCCGTAGAAACCCGTCCTTATGTACCCCTGGTTGTTGTCCCGTAGAAACCCGTCCTTATGTACCCTTGGTTGTTGTCCTGTAAACACCGTCCTTATGTACCCCTGGTTGTTGTCCCGTAGAAACCCGTCATTATGTACCCCTGATTGTTGTCCTGTAAACACCGTCCTTATGTACCCCTGGTTGTGGTCCTGTAAACACCCGTCCTTATGTAACCTTGGTTGTTGTCCTGTAAACACCGTCCTTATGTACCCCTGGTTGTTGTCCCGTAGAAACCCGTCCTTATGTACCCCTGGTTGTTGTCCCGTAGAAACCCGTCCTTATATACCCCTGGTTGTTGTCCCGTAGAAACCCGTCCTTATGTACCCTTGGTTGTTGTACTGTAGACACCGTCCTTATGTACCCTTGGTTGTTGTCCTGTAAACACCGTCCTTATGTACCCTTGGTTGTGGTCCTGTAAACACCCGTCCTTATGTAACCTTGGTTGTTGTCCTGTAAACACCGTCCTTATGTGCCCTTGGTTGTTGTCCTGTAAACACCCGTCCTTATGTACCCCTGGTTGTTGTCCCGTAGAAACCCGTCCTTATGTACCCCTGGTTGTTGTCCCGTATCAACCCGTCCTTATGTACTCCTGGTTGTTGTCCTGTAAACACCGTCCTTATGTACCCTTGGTTGTTGTCCTGTAAACACCGTCCTTATGTAACCTTGGTTGTTTTCCTGTAAACACCCGTCCTTATGTACCCTTGGTTGTGGTCCTGTAAACACCCGTCCTTATGTACCCTTGGTTGTTGTCCTGTAAACACCGTCCTTATTTTCCCACGGATGTGGTCCCGTAGACACCCGTCCTTATATATGCGTGGCAAAGGTCCCCTAGATGTAATGTTGGACGACCGGTCGCAGCTGAGAGAGCACAGGACGATTTGTTAGACACTATTTAAAAGTTTATTAACAATATTTCATATAAATATAGATATAAAAATGCCATATAAAGGTACACGCAAGCATTTAATGATACATTTAAAACATTCAAAATTTCTGTAGTTTGGTATCACAGTCATAGTCCAATTCTTAATTCACAAATTGTACAATCTATGTACTATATACTGTCACCACGTGTGCATGTGTTCACTCAACCATCATTACATGTATATGGTATAGATAAGCTGTATCTATATAACAAGCTATTACAGATGTAGATACCTGTAAGTAACTATCAACTTTTCATGTATAAAGACAAGTATAAGGAATACCATTCACAGCAATGATATCAACTATCAACACTAACAGATAGTTACCGTAATACCTGCAAAAAATGGGCCTTGCGTTTACTTATAGGACCACTGATGCGTAACGCCTATGCATTTTACGAATGAATAAAATGAATTAACATTAATTTTTGTTCGCAAGCCTTACAATCATATCTTAATACTGTCATGTAGATGTATATGTTCATGAACTAAACATGGATACTTGGTTGTGATATACTACCATATACAGCATTCGCATACATCGCTTTAAAAAAATCGATATATGCACTGGTAAATGACGAAACTAAACATGGTAAAACAAGGTCACTGAAAACGTGTAATATATATACATAGTCCCGTAAACACCCGTCTTTATGCATCCCTGGTTGTTGCCCCGTAAACACCCGACCTTATATACGGCTGGTTGTTGCCCCGTAAACACTCGTCATTATATACGGCTGGTTGTTGTCCCGTAAACACCCGTCCTTATATACGGCTGGTTGTTGTTCCGTAAACACCCGTCATTATATACGGCTGGATGTTGTCCCGTAAGCACCCGTCCTTATATACGGCTGGTTGTTGTCCCGTAAACACCCGTCCTTATATACGGCTGGATGTTGTCCCGTAAACGCCCGTCCTTATATACGGCTCTTAGTTGTCCAGTAAACACCCGTCATTATATACGGCTGGTTGTTGTCCCGTAAACACCCGTCCTTATATACGGCTGGCAGTTGTCCCGTAAACACCCGTCATTATATACGGCTGGTTGTTGTCCTGTAAACACCCGTCCTTATATACGGCTGGCAGTTGACCCGTAAACACCCGTCATTACATACGGCTGGTGGTTGTCCCGTAAACACCCGTCCTTATATACGGCTGGCAGTTGTCCCGTAAACACCCGTCATTATATACGGCTGGTTGTTGTCCCGTAAACACCCGTCATTATATACGGCTGGATGTTGTCCCGTACACACCCGTCATTATATACGGCTGGTTGTTGTCCCGTAAACACCCGTCCTTATATACGGCTGGCAGTTGTCCCGTACACACCCGTCATTATATACGGCTGGTTGTTGTCCCGTAAACACCCGTCCTTATATACGGCTGGCAGTTGTCCCGTAAACACCCGTCCTTATATACGGCTGGATGTTGTCCCGTAAGCACCCGTCCTTATATACGGCTGGTTGTTGTCCCGTAAACACCCGTCATTATATACGGCTGGCAGTTGTCCCGTAAACACCCGTCATTATATACGGCTGGTTGTTGTCCCGTAAACACCCGTCCTTATATACGGCTGGTTTTTGTCCTGTAAACACCGTCCTTATTTTCCCACGGATGTGGTCCCGTAGACACCCGTCCTTATATATGCGTGGCAAAGGTCCCCTAGATGTAATGTTGGACGACCGGTCGCAGCTGAGAGAGCACAGGACGATTTGTTAGACACTATTTAAAAGTTTATTAACAATATTTCATATAAATATAGATATAAAAATGCCATATAAAGGTACACGCAAGCATTTAATGATACATTTAAAACATTCAAAATTTCTGTAGTTTGGTATCACAGTCACAGTCCAATTCTTAATTCACAAATTGTACAATCTATGTACTATATACTGTCACCACGTGTGCATGTGTTCACTCAACCATCATTACATGTATATGGTATAGATAAGCTGTATCTATATAACAAGCTATTACAGATGTAGATACCTGTAAGTAACTATCAACTTTTCATGTATAAAGACAAGTATAAGGAATACCATTCACAGCAATGATATCAACTATCAACACTAACAGATAGTTACCGTAATACCTGCAAAAAATGGGCCTTGCGTTTACTTATAGGACCACTGATGCGTAACGCCTATGCATTTTACGAATGAATAAAATGAATTAACATTAATTTTTGTTCGCAAGCCTTACAATCATATCTTAATACTGTCATGTAGATGTATATGTTCATGAACTAAACATGGATACTTGGTTGTGATATACTACTATATACAGCATTCGCATACATCGCTTTAAAAAAATCGATATATGCACTGGTAAATGACGAAACTAAACATGGTAAAACAAGGTCACTGAAAACGTGTAATATATATACATAGTCCCGTAAACACCCGTCTTTATGCATCCCTGGTTGTTGCCCCGTAAACACCCGACCTTATATACGGCTGGTTGTTGTCCCGTAAACACTCGTCATTATATACGGCTGGTTGTTGTCCCGTAAACACCCGTCCTTATATACGGCTGGTTGTTGTTCCGTAAACACCCGTCATTATATACGGCTGGATGTTGTCCCGTAAGCACCCGTCCTTATATACGGCTGGTTGTTGTCCCGTAAACACCCGTCCTTATATACGGCTGGATGTTGTCCCGTAAACGCCCGTCCTTATATACGGCTCTTAGTTGTCCAGTAAACACCCGTCATTATATACGGCTGGTTGTTGTAAACACCCGTCATTATATACGGCTGGCAGTTGTCCCGTAAACACCCGTCATTATATACGGCTGGTTGTTGTCCCGTAAACACCCGTCCTTATATACGGCTGGCAGTTGTCCCGTAAACACCCGTCCTTATATACGGCTGGTTGTTGTCCCGTAAACACCCGTCCTTATATACGGCTGGTTGTTGTTCCGTAAACACCCGTCATTATATACGGCTGGTTGTTGTCCCGTAAACACCCGTCATTATATACGGCTGGATGTTGTCCCGTAAGCACCCGTCCTTATATACGGCTCTTAGTTGTCCAGTAAACACCCGTCATTATATACGGCTGGCAGTTGACCCGTAAACACCCGTCATTATATACGGCTGGTGGTTGTCCCGTAAACACCCGTCCTTATATACGGCTGGCAGTTGTCCCGTAAATTCCCGTCCTTATATACGGCTGGCAGTTGTCCCGTAAACACCCGTCATTATATACGGCTGGTTGTTGTCCTGTATACACCCGTCCTTATATACGGCTGGTTGTTGTCCCGTAAACACCCGTCCTTATATACGGCTGGCAGTTGTCCCGTAAACACCCGTCATTATATACGGCTGGCAGTTGTCCCGTAAACACCCGTCATTATATACGGCTGGTTGTTGTCCCGTAAACACCCGTCATCATATACGGCTGGTTGTTGTCCCGTAAACACCCGTCATTATAAACGGCTGGTTGTTGTCCCGTAAACACCCGTCCTTATATACGGCTGGCTGATTTTCCTTAGAAACCCGTCCTTTTACATCCATTGCCTGTAGTCCCGTAGACATCCGTCCTTATGTACTCTTGCTTGTTGTTCAATAAACATCCATCCTTTTGTACCATTGACTGTTGTTCCGTAAACAACTGACCTTATCTACAACGGGATGTTGTCCCGTAGAAACCCATGCTAATGAACCATTGGTTGTATGTCCCTGGCTATTGTTGTGTCCCCTAGACACCCGTCCTCATATGTCCCTTACTTTTGTTTTGTTTCCTAGAAACCCATGCTAATGAACCATTGGTTGTATGTCCCTGGCTATTGTTGTGTCCCCTAGACACCCGTCCTCATATGTCCCTTACTTTTGTTTTGTTTCCTAGACACCCGTCCTCATATGTCCCTGGCTATTGTTGTGTCCCCTAGACACCCGTCCTTATATGTCCCTGGCTATTGTTGTGTCCCCTAGACACCCGTCCCCATATGTCCCTGGCTATTGTTGTGTCCCCTAGACACCCGTCCTCATATGTCCCTGGCTATTGTTGTGTCCCCTAGACATCCGTCCTCATATGTCCCTTGACTTAAGTTTTTTGTCCTAGAAATCCGTCCCCATATGTCCCTTGCTATTGTTGTGTCCCCTAGACATCCGTCCTCGTATGTCCCTGGTTATTGTTGTGTCCTCTAGACACCCGTTCTTGTATGTCCCTGGCTATTGTTGTGTCCCCTAGACACGCGTCCTCATATGTCCCTGGCTATTGTTGTGTCCTCTAGACACCCGTTCTTGTATGTCCCTGGCTATTGTTGTCCCTTGACTTAAGTTTTTTGTCCTAGAAATCCGTCCCCATATGTCCCTTGCTATTGTTGTGTCCCCTAGACATCCGTCCTCGTATGTCCCTGGTTATTGTTGTGTCCTCTAGACACCCGTTCTTGTATGTCCCTGGCTATTGTTGTGTCCCCTAGAGACACATCCTCGTATGTCTCTGGCTATTGTTGTGTCTCCTAGACACGCGTCCTCATATGTGCCTGGCTATTGTTTTGTCCCCTAGACACGCGTCCTCATATGTCCCGGACTATTGTTCTTCCATAGACAACCGTCTTCGTATGACGTTTTGTCCCCGATACACATGTCTTAATATGACCTTATTGTACATATATATGACCCTGACTGCTACTGGAACATTGAACCCTAAACAAACAATAGAGCGATATACCAAATCGCGATAGTGAGGCAGTTACTTCACTCTCATCAGGGATAATTAATAATTTTACATCATTACCTAAAAGGATAATCCACGCCCATCCCCTGTCCATCACGTGCGCTCTTCTGATCCGGTCTGGCATTGCAGCTCTTTTACAGCTGTTTACAGCTGACCTTGGTTTCTTCTTGTCCTAGGGAAGTTCCCCTATATCAAACACAGCTAACATATTATAACCTTATCGCCCGCTGTGATACTAAGCAGAGAATAACAAAGTTAATAGAATTTATAGCTGTTAACATATAGAGCGAGTCCGCTTAATGCCGAGTACTTCGCCCTCTTCACTTTTCCATTCTGATCGACAAGAGTGATAAAATATTTTGAAACAATTTTGTCAACGAAGTAATTTGTCGTGGTAAACCCACATGACTGTACAATGAAATGTTAAATATTAAATGAGCAACGCGGAACCAAACATAGTATTTCAGTTTACAAGACATACAACCGTGATAGTGCAATGGTTCAGGGCTTTTTTTCAGTAGTAATAGATAACTTTTGACTTACGACATGACCTGCGTGTACTCTCGATTTACAAATTATCAACATAAAAAGACAATTTTAAAAAATATAAATATTACAAGTAGAATAATACGTACAACATAGCGATATCCGATCGGTAATTGTACTAGTGTGATAATATATAAATTGTTACCTGTGAAACTCTCTGTCCTTTAGAGTGTACTCACCTGACATTGAAGGGACGCTTAGATAATAGTGTTTATGTCACAGATAACTCACGTGACTGTTTATGGGAGAGTTACGCTGATGCTTTTAAAACCAGAGTAACAGGTGTTGTTTAATTTAGCATTTATAGAATATGTTCCGTTGAAAAATGTTGAAATATGCTTGTGAGCTATCGTAGAATTTAAGTATGAAAACTTATTCTATATATACTCAAGGGACAAAGAAACACGGCGTAAACTTTGAAGATGATTCTAGGCAAGACATCGAGTATAATGTTCAGTACAGAACAAACTGCAAAATTGACTATTTGTATCTGGTAAGTGATTTAGGAATAATTGAAGGGAATTGGAAAGGGAACTCTAATCTGAAATCAAAATGGATTGATTGTGGGAGCTGGCTAGTTAATACCAGGTATGTACCCCATTTGTTTTCTTCACAGCCCTGATTATCCCAGGCACGGCGTTCATGAGTGAGCTTATCCTCCTCATTGGGATGTTGGCCCATACTTCCAAGAGGACTGCTCTCATTTGGGCCAGAGTAACAGGAGGAGGCTGGGGTTGTCGAACCTGTCTATCAAGCTGGTCCTACAAGTGCTCAATAGGGGATAGGTCGGGGTTGTATAGCGGCCAGTCCAATGGGTGAGTATTGTTGTTAGTGAGAAAGTCACAACAGATCCTCGCTACATGGGGCCGAACATTATCTTGCTGGAATGTGAAATTGTTTTGCTGCAATAATGAGACAACATGGGTTCGGGGGATCTCATCTCTATACCTTGCGGCAGATAACTGCTACCACAACCAGTGGTGATTTACCTCCATGTGAGATTCCTCCCCACGCCATAACCGATCCACTCTCTAGTCTATCCATCTCTACTACGCACCAGTCGGCAAAACGTTCTCCACGACGAAGACCGTCTGCTCGAAACAGTGTGAACCGGGACTCATAGGAAAACAAGACCAACCTCCACTGCCTAAACGGCAATATGCTGGAGGCGTGTGTCTCCACCCAAGCCATCGATGCTAGCGACGAACAGCGGTAAGGGGCAGACCTACAAATAGGTGATCAACTTCCCGCAATCGTTTCCTTTCAGTTTTTGCATGAATATGACGGTTATGTGTACCTTTGGTATGAAGGACAGATTCAGATGCAGTAAGGTGTTGATTGCACAAATGCGCGTGACGAATAAATCTGTCCTGACGTTGTGACGTCACGCGCGAACGCCCAGACCTAGGTCTGTCAGCAACCTTCCCAGTTTCCCTTAGACGTCTAACAAGACGTTCTATAGTACAAATATGGACACCGAAATGTCTGGCAACCCTTATTTGCCTTTGACCTTGAATAGTTATCGCAATGGCCTGCCCCTCTGAACTTCCGTCCGCCATGCCATTGTTTCAGCGGGAAATTATGTGTCTCTATGAAGACTGCCTGATGGAATGACGAGCAGTGTAACTCAATGCCTCAACACTGCTGTGCATGAGATATTTCCGTTCCATGTTTTCCCGGAACACGTCGTCACGCAATACAATCATGCAACTTTCGATACAGGACCACGTGCACTGTAACCTGGATAGTTGCTTGACCGATTTTCATTGTTTTAAATAACGCGTTCTCATGATATTGCAAATAATGTCACCCTGCGTTTCGAGGCGTGTGGTTTGACACTCAGTACCCTTGTCGGTTTCTGTTTCTCAGCTTACTGGGAAACGAACCGGTCTGTGGTTGCGTAGTTGCGTTCTTTGGCAGTACGCTATACCCCTGTCGTTCTAGATAGCGTGTGAGGGATCTCCCATGTGGTGTTCACTGAGGTAACCACAAACTACTACTAGGAAGGCCCCGCCTCCAAATTTAATAATTAGGAAATTATAATCAGATGATTGGCTATTCAAATCGACCTGCCTCCGTGATTCATGAACGTCCGTCCGTCCGTAAACAATTATTATTATTTACTTGATAAATTTTTGATAGATCGTTCTCAGATTTCATGTATAGGTACATGTAATCTTTTGTGTCTGTTAGATTTTGAGACTGATCAGAAAATTAAAATCGCTGATAGGCGGCCATCTTTGATTTTTTGACGATGAAAGATTGTTATCGTTACTTATTGAGAAGTACTGGACGGATCTTTCTCAATTTTGTACGTCGGTCCCATTGGTCCTTAATTGTGTAATTTTGGAATTTGGAATCGTGTAAACGAAATGCGACCATTTGAGATTCGGCAGTTAAAGATTAACATCACTGTTTATTAAGATGAATGTTCAAATTTATATTTAGGAGCAAAACCCGAGCAGAGAAGATAAAGAAAGGGAAAGATCCAACTTTCAAAGAACAATAAAGATCAAACAATGTTTGGCGCCAAGATGCTCTCTGAGATTTCTAGTAACCAGTTTCAGCTGGATGTAGTGACGTCATCATTTGGTGAAGGTGCATCGAAAATTCGACCATTCGCTGTCTGTGAAGTATAGGGGCGTTAACTATAATAGGTATTATGTCATGAGGATTAGGTACATCTATACGGGTACAAGTCATTCTCTCTACAATATAACACATGAATAAACCCAAGACATACAAAAAAGGCACATAAAGATTAAGAATATCAAATTGATAGAAACCTCTCATATTTTATTGGCAATTTCTCTTATGATTTAGGTACAAGATTAAATGGTTCATGTTAAAAGGACCATTTAGAGGCTTGGTTTAAAGAATGATTGAAGGAAAGTTTTGTCCACTTGACCTCGGAAAGGACGTCCATCTCATTGTCAGTGTGGCCGTCGGGTAGGCTTTAGACCACATAAGGATCTATAAGATAAAAAATAGCTCCGCAAACGCGGGCAATACCCCACAGCCTTATTATAAAGTTGGGTGCAGGGCTGAGATTGTGAAGAACCTCAATAGGCTGTGTAGGTCCATAGGCCCAACATGCCCAGCGAAAATGGTGATCACTGGTGATGTCGTTCTTGAGATAATGAGCGGAATGCAAATTCAAGATGGCGGTCGTAACCGCCATATTGGATATTGGGCGACGACAAAAAACAATAGGGTTGTGTAGGTCCATAGACCCAACATGCACAGCGAAAATGGTGATCGCCGGTGATGTAGTTTTTGAGATAATAAGCGGAATGCAATTGTGGACGGACGGATGGACGGACAGACAGAGGGACGGACGCCGTGCGTGATCGCAATACCTCACACCCTTTCGGGCTGTGGGGTAAAAACTCCGACAGTTCCATTTTTCCCCACGAAGAAAGAATCGCATCGTCTCTTCAACGTCAGAAGAAGTTACGAGATTGGAACTCGAATCGAGTAGTTCAGTGGAGGCGATGAAGTTGACTTCATTGCATATCTAGAGAGGAATCACAATGTTTCTGTCAAGAGCGGATTTGTGTGTGTCAATATCAGAAGATGGTACATGCAGTATAATGAAACATGATCAAACCTACACCGCAGTCTCTTCCAAAGATAAAGAAGTTGCCGTCTGATATAGGGGCATATTTCTTATAGATCAGGGTACGATGGACATTCAAAATATTTCATGGTTCATCGGATAGATTGTCACTGGAATGACGATGTAAGAGGGAAAGAGTTCTATAGCACATTGTATCTACATGTTTATAAAGAGGTTCGTTAATTACATACTGTTTATAACAAAAACCTTTAAACACTGCAACTTAACATTTAAACAAAGTGGTCGGCCAATTGTTAAAAGCATCACACAAACTACCATTCCTTTTAAACCAGAAATGATATCTCCCGGGAGTCAGATCTCGGACACGTGACCAGTATCAAAAATGTAAACGAATACTTCATCTTATAATAAAAACACGAAAACAATGGTTGACCTATCTTCGTTACATAACGAAAACAATGGTTGACCTATCTTCGTTACATAACGAAAACAATGGTTGACCTATCTTCGTTACATAACGAAAACAATGGCTGACCTATCTTCGTTACATAACAGTTTGATTATTTTGACACATTTTGCCTTCGGCTTAAGTTTCTCCCTACATCATACAATTTGGGTTAGACGTTTTAACATTAAATATAAGTTAACATATTTGTTTGATGTAAAAGATAAGTTTTTATCTACAGAAACCCTATACTTCACATCAATATAAAACAATAGGTTTGACGCAGCATTAAATCGCTTGATCTTGTGTTTCAGAATACACATACAACAGAGACCGTTGGGGGTATTACATTGGTAAATTCCAGGGTAACACAATCACGCTGTGTGTTAGGTCCGAAGTGCACAGGTCTGGCAGATTCACGTCCAGAGTAACACAATCACGCTGTGGGACAGGTCACAAGTAAACATGTCTGGCAGATTCACGTCCACAGTAACACAATCACGCTGTGGGACAGGTCACAAGT